TACTACTGTATTCACTGCTACTACTGTACTCGGCCATTCTTATCTGTTAAATTCGCAAAGCACTGCCATTGTAAATAATGTTATGTACATAAGTTTGCTATCGTGTTTTATTTTGTAGCCCGAGCTGGGCATTCTGTTTATAGGTTATGCTTATATTTTGCTCTGTACTATTTCTGTTTACGTCTATTAATAAATTCATATGCGCGTCAGGGACCCTTCCTCTTCTATCTTCCTTCCTTCCCACTTTTCCATCCCCTTTGGCCCCTGCCACCAATACTTTCTCTTACGTCTACTTTCTTCTCACTTCTTTTCACCCACTTTACGGAAATACCTCTGAGTAACGCCGTCTATTCTTTACTATATAATACTATATAATACAGGCAACACACAAGGGTAGCAAGCATAATTATATAACACAACCACCATGTGAGAATGGTTGAATGTGCAATGAGGTTTAATTGATAGCAGTGATATGGATATGCAAATGTTCAATTTAATAAAAAATATCAAATACTGTTAAATAAAACAGTATTTTAATTAACATACCATTGCTAACTTAAAGCTAATTGCACATTCAACCATTCCTGCATTACATTTGTGTTATACAGTAAGTACTGCTACTCCTTATATGTTGTGCAGTAAAACATTTACCACTAAATGATAAAACTGGAAAATAAATATGATTTAGTAACCTTATGTCAGTCCAGCAGGTAAAAAATGACATTTTTTCCCCTTCTGGACTGACAAAGTAATGCTACTATCAACAATGTAATAACTTAACACTTGATCCTACAATTCTGCAGTTTTAAGTTTTTAAACCTCATGTTCTTTTAGGTGTTAGAATTCTATTTTAGAACTCATTGGTTCCTGAAGAAGGCCTTCAGTGTAGGCTAAAAGCATTTGAACAGCATTTTTTACCCTGCTGGACTGACATAAGGTTACTGAATTGTACTTAAAACATTTAACCTGTCATATCTGACAGCCTCTTCTGAAATCCCATTTGATATTTTGGAATGCACTAAAAAGTGATAATACATATTTTTTCATGTGCTACAACTTTATAATTGACTCCATTGCTCTAATTTCATTAAGGGTTGAGATTACAACAGCCATTCTCTGATAGAAAAACTGAAGGAGGCAGAAATTTGCACTATTGTTTAGGGCAGGGGTGGCCAACCTTTTGCATACCATGCGCCAATTTTTTGATAGACAAATTCCGATGCACCATATAACTCGAACACTTTTTATACTGTCTTACACCAAGGCTCACTCAGAACTAGGGTTGCCAGATGATTTTAGTGTTTGTAACCAAATATTTTTTTTAAAAAATAGCCCAAAAGTAGTTAACTCCTAAAAATTCTTTTAATAACCCAAGATTCGACGTTGAAATTAAAAAAAAACCATTCGTGACTTTCCAGCAATAAGTTTAGTCACAATAAATGTTCTCACCCATTTACACGCCTGTAAATTGATCGGAAATAAAGATCGCAAGACTCAAAATGCATGCATACACTGTAATTTACTACGTGGAAAACACTCATTTTATCTGTAAAGTAGATTGCAAGGAGTTCTGCAACAAATGAACTTGCCAAGACAGACTATAAAAAATTAATTTTCTATGTAATATTCTTAATTGCATTGAAGCCAAATCTGGCAATGTTGCTCAGAACTGACTGAAGCGTCACTTGTAATCGTCCAATGCGCCACGTTTTGGCCACCCCTGGTTTAGGGCATATATAATATCATTGGTGAAAAGTTTACAGTGATTGCCTTATTTGTTTTTGAAATAATTGGTGGGAAAGACTTGTTACCTTTCTGTTTAATGTATAATTAAAAAATTTAATTAAAATAAAACTATAGGTATCTATCTGACAATCTAAACAATTTACCTAAAATGCAAATAAAAAATTTTCTGTAAGTTTTTATATTGCTGAAATTTATTCATAATGAATTAACATTCATAAATATGTACAGTACATACAACTATTAAATATATATGTACTCTATAATTTGTATATTAAATATTATTAAATTGCAAAATTTATGTAAATTTCATTTGTATTTTGTATTATTATTAACTGCATTATCCTATTTTCCTGCTAGAAAAAAATAACATTAGTACCATAAAATGATAGATAAAGTAACATAAACGTAGCCCTGTTTGTTTTGTTTAAAAAGTGAACACTGACATCATTCTTACAGTAATTTTTCAGTGTAATGCTGTGTTTTATTGCTTTAGTGCCTTGGTGTACACTTTTCTACATTAGTTCAAAAGTCAGTCTAAGACAAAACCTCATTGGTCAATGAAGATAAAGTAAGCAAAGATCATCAGAAAAGCAATATATATGCCATAATTTGAGAAACTCCTATTTTCCTTATGATATAGATTCTCAACATAGTGTGCATGCCCAAATCTCAGCTGTTTAAAAACTCCACTTCTGTATTCAATTTGGTTCTAAAATAGGCTTACGTGACCTGAAGACATCCAATTGATTTGGACAAAAACATTTGTTATATTAAATAATTTTTGTGTTTGTTTGGTTTGGTTTATTAGTGACATTTTAGACATTTCTTCATATTATCAAATAACCAAAAATATGTGTGAATGATAGAAATTACGAAAAATGGTAGAATTTCTACACCGAAGTACTGTAACAAAAACACATATCTATAAACCTTTTACCGGTGCATGCTTCATCACACTCTACAATAAAGTTACAAACGTTTTAGAACCGTTACGGTTCTTCTTCTTCAGGTAATGATCCCCTAATGGAACGCGTTTCGGTTCAAAATTGTTATGAAATACGATCCGGAACAATGTCCCGACCCGATAACATCACTACGGATTTGTACGTTATGGATGTGTTCTATTTTAGAGAGTTATCTAGTAGGGCCTGCCAGGCCGTTGATAGAGCAATTTCATCCTTGCAGTTAATGCAATTACATTCTTTAATCATGTTTAGGCATATGTAGATCGCCTCCAGCCATCTGAGATGGTTCGTGCAATGGGTGGCGTGAATGACCTTTGCTTGAGAGAATATGAGTTCTATGTCACGGTCCGAAGAGTATACGGCCAGAGCTGTGTTGGTTCTTTCATGGTTAATATCCGCTTTATGCTCTTTGATTCGGGTTACGAGGTTGATCCTATGTTTGGTTGAACGTTTGGTTGATCCTATGTAGACCATGTTTCTATCACACCTGTGATCTATGATAGGGATGGTGTAGACGCCAGGAAGCTTATTTCGGTCTGGGGTGTCTTTTCCATTTCGTGAGAAATCAAAAATTGTAGCGCGTCTTCTAAATGTAATACGGATATTCTTTTTCCTAGCTATCTCCATATACGAGGAGATATTCTTTTTCCTAGCTATCTCCATATACAAGGAGATATTCTTTTTCCTAGCTATCTCCATATACAAGGAGATAGTTAGGAAAAAGAATATCCGTATTACATTTAGAAGACGCGCTACAATTTTTGATTTGTCATGAAATGGAAAAGACACCCCAGACCGAAATAAGCTTCCCGGCGTCTACACCATCCCTATCATAGATCACAGGTGTGATAGAAACATGGTCTACATAGGATCAACCAAACGTTCCCTCGTAACCCGAATCAAAGAGCTTAAAGCGGATATTAACCATGAAAGAACCAACACAGCTCTGGCCGTATACTCTTCGGACCGTGACATAGAACTCATATTCTCTCAAGCAAAGGTCATTCACGCCACCCATTGCACGAGCCATCTCAGATGGCTGGAGGCGATCTACATATGCCTAAACATGATTAAAGAATGTAATTGCATTAACTGCAAGGATGAAATTGCTCTATCAACGGCCTGGCAGGCCCTACTAGATAACTCTCTAAAATAGAACACATCCATAACGTACAAATCCGTAGTGATGTTATCGGGTCGGGACATTGTTCCGGATCGTATTTCATAACAATTTTGAACCGAAACGCGTTCCGTTAGGGGATCATTACCTGAAGAAGAACCGTAACGGTCCTAAAACGTTTGTAACTTTATTGTAGTGTGTGATGAAACGCACACCGGTAAAAGATTTATAGATACGTGTTTTTGATAGAAATTACACTAATTATTAGTTTATGTACTTCATCAGTGATTTGTTGTAAGTAGAATGTGCTAGTATAACCAAATCTTTTGACTTATCCACCCATATTAAAACCACATTGTTCAAAATCTCAGAAGCACAAATCCCAGTCCAATAAAGAAAGTGATTGTAGACAGCAAGAGGTAGCTCACATCAAACAACATTGGCCCACAATCTTAATATAGGCAGATAAGTCAAAGATTTGGTTTATTATTAATTTTTATAACTTGTATCAGTCATGTTATTGTATTGCATAATATTTATAATGTTATATTTCAATTCAATTTTGCTTCTTTTATTCAAATGATTAAAATAAAAAAATTTAACCTCATTATGCATGAGCAAGTTGAGTAGACATACACTATTTTGTTCATGTGGATGCAATAGATTCCTATTTTGATTATGTCATTTGTATACACTTTGAATACACCATTAAGAGACAAAACAAACAGGGCTTATAACACATGTAATACAAAGACTAATTAGATTTTTTTAATAATTAACTTTTGAAAAAAATATGATAATTTCTTATTGTCACAACAAATTTTTCTGTGACAATTATTACTGATCTGGAAGCACAACATCATGCTGGTTGATAAACTAAAGTTAAAACTGCAAAAGCATTTAAAAACTTAAAAACATTTTGGCATTAGATATGCCAAACTATTAGCATCAATTCTGTTAATAATAATAATGTTGAGAAAGTGTAATATTCCTACTTTTGTTGTTCATTTAGATATTGCTTTAATTATTTTAAACTGCTTTCTTTGATGGATTGCACACCACAAGGTTGCAACATACATACATGCAGTGCTATACCATATCATGCAGACTTTCACAGATCACGTTGAAGCAATTTTACAAATGTGGATTTTGTTATTATTAAGACTTGCCTGAAGAGTAGCATAAGGCCTTGGAAAAACGTACGGAAGTTATTGTGGCGTGTTATGGATGTATCAGAGTTCAGTTCAATATTACCAAATACCTAAGTATGCAGAGTAAGAAGTTACATCAATCACAGATTATAAATCCTATTTACAATTAGCTACCTTCAACTAAATTTGACATTAATCAAATTTAATTATAAAACAGGATAAAGGAGTGGAATAAAAATTTATACTCAAGAAAAGAGACCAAACATAGTTTACTATTGGTATTATAAATAAAATACAACCACTCAAAAACTGGGAAAACCTGATACAAAGCTACAAAAACCAAATAACTAGCAGAAAAAAATTGGGAGTGCTAACATTTTTACCCATGTCGAACGGGCATCCTCTGACTAACTAATCCCACGGCTGTTGAAATACCGGGGGATTGCTGTACATATGTGAAAAAGGGGATGATGTAAGAAGGAGAGGGAGAGGAAAGTTTACAGTTTGAAGAGTGACTTCCATGCTGTGGGGAAGGATTCTACAGTGCAGAAGTTAATAGTGGTATTTTTGAGGGCAGCCTTATAAATTTCCTCTTGCTTCAGATGTTTGAGAAAGGATTGCTGGAAAGAGCCATATATGAGGCATGCACAGTCAAAATTCACACGAATGTTGGGGTCAGAGGCAAAGATAGCTAGCACAGTACTGGCCATCCTTTCAGGATGGAATTCTGATATTCTGTATGCTAGCATGCCTCATATATGGCTCTTTCCCAACAATCCTTTCTCAAACATTTGAAGCAAGAGGAAATTTATAAGGCTGCCCTCAAAAATACCATTATTAATTTCTGCACTGTAGACTCCTTCCTCACAGCATGGAAGTCACTCTTCAAACTGTAAACTTACTTTCCTCTCCCTCTCCTCCTTACATCACCCCCTTTTTCACATATGTACAGCAATCCCCCCAGTATTTCAACAGCCGTGGGATTAGTTAGTCAGAAGATGCCCATTCAACATGGGTAAAAATGTTAGCACTCCCCAATTTTTTCTGCTGGTTATTTGGTTTTTTTGTAGTTTGGTATTATAAATATTTATTTAAATCATTACTTAAAGTTTTGTTAATAGATAGAATGACAATGTTTTGATTTATGTGTAGCATGATAAATATTAGATAACTGTGGATAAAATATACATAATGAAGAATTGATTATTCTTTTACTGATAAGTTTTTCACTAACATTAATTGCTGTTCACTTTTAAAAACATCTATGTATAGACTAACATATATATGCCATATGTTAATAATATTATAAATAATGATTTGAATAAAGTTTAATAGTATCAGTAATAAACCATAGTAGTCTTTTTTCTTGATCATTTAAATTACTAAAAGTGTCAAAACATGTCCAATTATATTCTCAAAAGCCACCTTAATTGATTATGTGAGCTTAACCAATAATGTAATATTTCATTTTCTAATGACTATTCATTGCATAGGATCTAAAGTCTTTGTTAAATAAATTAGGTTAAAAGGTGGAAAGAATTTAAACAATGCAACAAGCTATCTAAGAAATTAAAGTAATTATGGCAGTTCATGCACAAGCTGAAGTATCAGAAAAACCAGCCTTCTAAATATCCATGAAAACTTATTCCTTTGAATGTATATAATTAGAGATATTGCATTCTATAAAACAAAAAACTTCCTAAAATAATCTAAACAAACAATATTTTATTATTATACATCTCAGATGGCTGGAGGCGATCTACATATGCCTAAACATGATTAAAGAATGTAATTGCATTAACTGCAAGGATGAAATTGCTCTATCAACGGCCTGGCAGGCCCTACTAGATAACTCTCTAAAATAGAACACATCCATAACGTACAAATCCGTAGTGATGTTATCGGGTCGGGACATTGTTCCGGATCGTATTTCATAACAATTTTGAACCGAAACGCGTTCCGTTAGGGGATCATTACCTGAAGAAGAAGAACCGTAACGGTTCTAAAACGTTTGTAACTTTATTGTAGAGTGTGATGAAGCATGCACCGGTAAAAGGTTTATAGATATGTGTTTTTGTTACAGTACTTCGGTGTAGAAATTCTACCATTTTTCGTAATTTCTATCATTCACACATAGTTTTGGTTATTTGATAATATGAAGAAATGTCTAAAATGTCACTAATAAACCAAACCAAACAAACACAAAAATTATTTAATATAACAAATGTTTTTGTCCAAATCAATTGGATGTCTTCAGGTCACGTAAGCCTATTTTAGAACCAAATTGAATACAGAAGTGGAGTTTTTAAACAGCTGAGATTTGGGCATGCACACTATGTTNAAAAAAAAAAAAAACATTAGACTTTGACTCCTGATAATTTTAGTAGGTCAACTCTGACTCTGGAAAAATTAAAAACTAAGTCATTTTATAGGGGCAGAAACACTCATAGGGGGTCCCTACTCTGAACGGAGCCCTGGGCATTTACCTAAATACTTTATAGTTAGTATTTTTAATATTTAACTCACATTAATATTTGTTTGTATAAACAAAATTAATTTTTAACAAATATTTAATAAGAGGAGAAAGGGTAGGGCAATAAAATTCAACATCTACATATCTTTATTCTACAACATTTGCACTTCAGTTTCACCTTTCCAGAAAAGTTAGTCCAACTAAAAAGTGTGCAATCTAGCTACTTCAGCCCCTTGTTCAGAAAAATATATACTCTGATCAATTAGTCTCGCTCATTCAGAAAAATAGAGTACTCATTTAGAGCAGGGATAATAAAGAATGATTCAAAAAGATTCAAATTTAATTGTCTAAACAGTTTAACTACTAAACACAAATACTAAAAAGAATACTACATACTTAATAAATTAAATTGTTGCATTTTGTATTTAAAATAAATAAATTATAATAAAATACAAAAACATTTTAAAAAATTATTAAATTTGAAATGCCAGAGTCAGAGTGAACACATTTTCCTCAACTCTGACTCCTCTGGCCAAAAATTCCTCCCGACTCAGACTCTGACTCCACAGCCCTGGTTGTAACCAATCATTACATTTCATAAAGAAGACACAAACATATGGAGAAGTAATATTATTGCTGAATGACTTCTTGAAGAAACTGCTATTTCCAACAAATTTTTTTTTAACAATTGTATTTATCTGTTTGATTACTCAATCATTTCATTTCTTATTAATCAACAGATATTTATTCTTAATATTGAAAACATCAAATAACTTCTTGTGAGCATTCTTGTAATTTTCCATATTTTTCCTTATTAATATGGAAAGATTCAACTTATCAATATCTATGGTCAGTAGATAAATAATTCAAATTCTACTCATTAAACAAATATGCTGCTAACCACAGTTTCGCACCATTTTGAGAAGCAGTAACACTTGCATGTAAGTGTTGCTGCTTCTCAAAAGTCTGGATGCCAACCCATGGCTACCTCCACCAGCTCACGACCGCACATGACAAGCGAAACTGACTTTGTCGAAATGACACTCAATCCAATAAAATTCCACATGCTCCATTTGGAAACATTCCTAAGCTACTTGACCTGAGGAAGAACTGCGAGATAGTTCGAAAATGTTTGTCACCTGCTCTATATTTCTTACACGTGTTTTGCACCAGTAACAGATTCAGGAAAGTGAAAAATAACAAAAAATTAAACATCTTATTTAACATGAAACTGAGAGAAACGAATGCGTGAAAGATTTTTAGAAGTCAGAAGGATGATAATTATTAATATTTAAAAAAAAAGGGGGGGTTAAATTTTAAGTTCTTTGATTTTTGAATTGTAGCTTAATCCGCCCATATTTACCTGACAAGACAATTAACTTTAGGGATTTATTTTAAAATAGACTAAAGAATAGGCAATAAGATTTTGATATTGCTGAAAGTAAAAATTATCAATCTCACAAAATCTTTCACTCCTGAAATGGAAACTTCCTGCAATCAATTCTTTCAGAGTTGGCAAGCTTATTTCCAAGCCACAAATAGTTTACAAATTCATCTTAGAGAAATTCTCAGTTATGCTTAATAGGACAATAAAGTAGGTGGCCCATATCATTTACAATCCAACCAGGGACACATTTCAGAATTGATGAAAATGAGTCAAAAACTGACTGAATTTTAATTATTTTTATAATTTATTAATTAATTTATTTACCTATAAACTGGTGTTAGTATATCAATATGTTAATAAAATTATTTTACTCAAAGATTGATTCTACAATCCAACATTAAAAACAGTGAAACAAGGGACAATTCCCAGAAATCAGGGATATCTGGTTACCCTAATACGAGGTGTGTCCAGAAAGTAAGTACCGTTTCATTCTACTGCCATTGCAGTGGTAGTATCGCAGTTCAGCGCCTGCACACACATCTCTCTGGTTGATTGTCAGTCCAGTGATGCCATTACAGCCGGATTGTGTTGTTTTTCCACGTGTTAGTGAGTGTTCAAAATGTTTAAGACGATTGCCGATCCCGCCGACTGTGAAGTGCATTCTGTAATATAGTTTTTGAATGCAAAGAATGTTAAGCCAGTTGAAATTCATCGTCAACTTGTAGAGATTTATGGTGAAAATGTAATGAGTGATGGAATGGTTAGAAAGTGGGTTCAACAATTCAATGCTGAATGCACTGATGTTCATGACGAAGCACGGAGTGGCTGGCCTTCTGTTGTCAATGATGGTTTGGTTGCAAAAGTGAATGAAAAAATTCCTGAAAACAGATGGTTCACAATAAGATTGCTTTGTGATGAGTTTCCACAAATTTCAAATACTGTTTTGCATGAGATTGTTGAAACAACCAATGTTTAGCAGTGGCTGTCTTCACTGGTGGCATCTTTCTTTGAAGAGGGTATANACACACACACACACACATTCATTTTTATATATATAGATATACAGAGGACTGATTCAGGATGAACCAAGCTTTCAGGCTTTTGGTTGCTTTAGAACTCATGCTTACTAGAACTTTTTTACTTATTTTAGTATGATTTTATGCAAGCACAATTTCTGATGGGTTCAGATATACCCTGTATAAACATACAACATATACATAATATACCAGAATTGTGTAATACAGATTTGTTCCGACATAATGCTATTTCATTGCATTTTGAGCCAACTGATTCCATAATCCTATTGTAAAGTGAACTGTACTTTATACACATAATGAAAACTTGAGGCTCTATTTCTAGAACATTTTTAAGGTTATATATATATTTAACAAAGGAGATATATACTTGTGTTGACTTTAATCTCAGAAAATCATATAATCAAAAATGTTTTATTTTGGGTTGTGCAGTTTCTCAGTCAATACTGCATTAAGGAATACAATCATTCTAAAAATTTGGATATAAATGCCATGCCATATATAGAGTTTTCTGTACAATAGATCTAAATTTTATGTAGATTTATATGTTAGTTATAGTTTTTAATACTATTCTCAGATATATCAATTACATGTTATGTGATCAAAAGATATATTGATATAAATTTTATATAAACAGTAGAATGAGATAGAAACAGATTATAAATAAATTAACAAAATAGAAGTGTATTATTCAATCCATTTTATCTCAAATGATGCACTCAAAAATTAAATGTTTGGCTAGATCTAAACCAGAGCATTATTAGGATCTATGCTTCAAAGCTCTATTGGAAAGACAAAAAGGTTTGTGATTATCATTTAACTTCACCACACACCAGGTTGAATATATGACACGAGATCAACTTACTTTAACCAAATAACTGGAGTGCTTATGTTCGATAACTGCAAATGTTTTTGAAGCCCCTTCTGGGCTCTTCATTAACGGCCAGCTTGAATTGAATGAGGATAGAAGTCTGATAAATTACATATATATAATTTACTTAACTTTACCATACACTGGGTTGAATATATGACACGAGATCGACTTACTTTAACCAAATAACTGGAGTGCTTATATTCAATAACTGCAAACATTTTCAAAGCCCCTTTTGGGCTCTTCTTCAGGCTTCCACCCTCATTCCATTCAAGCTGGCTTTTAATATTCGAATACAATTTGAAAGGTATTCGATTCGGGATATGACACGTACATGTGTTCCAATTACATATCTTGAGATGTATCACGAGATGTATCTTGAGATCACATCATGTAACCAGAGAGATGTATCACGTCATATACAAATATATAAATTATGTTACAATATGAGAGTATTAAACACTTTGTATATAGCCATAGTCTTTTTTAATGTAATGTGATATAAATTACATTTAAATATGTTAATATCTTAAAGATGCACATTTTTATTCCTCTTACTATTCTGAGTCTCTTACTACTCTTACAATTCATCCTACTCAGTTTAATATTATTATGGTGTTAATGGAATGTATAGTGCCTCCACACTATGCTGGAGTTATGTCAAGACATAGCTACAGAAACCAAATTTTTGTTTACAAGCTATTCACACACACACACACATACATATATATATATATATATATATATACACACATAGTTTCTCAGCCTCTCTAAACAATTCATCCTACTCAGTTTAATATTATTATGGTGTTAATGGAATGTATAGTGCCTCCACACTATGCTGGAGTTATGTCAAGACATAGCTACAGAAACCAAATTTTTGTTTACAAGCTATTCACACACACACACACATACATATATATATATATATATATACACACACATAGTGTTTCACAGCCTCTCTAAAGTTTTTTTGAATAACTTTTGAACCGTGCGGTTTTCAGCCTCAATTTTTTGTACAAAATGGAATTGCTTCTATCACAAAAGCACGTTGCTTAAAAACATTTGATTTTTCTGTAAGTGGCCTCACCTGGCCACCTTACAGCGCTGATTTGAGTCCACTAGACTCCTTTCTTTGGGGATACACGAAAGATCAGATGTTCAAGAATAACCCTACCGCCCTCAGTCAGATGAGAGAAAGCATTGAGAGCATCATGAAGGGCATCTCAGATCAGACCTGTAGTAATGTGATTGCTAATTTCCAAGAGAGACTGCGCTACTGCATCTCAACAGAGGGCAGACATTTCAAAAATATCTTGCATTAATTTCCTTTTTCATCTCCTATCTTTGCTGAAAATTTCATTAAAAAATTCGAATTTTCAAAAAAATTATTTAAAAAAAAANGATGAAAACCAGCTTTAAGCAACGGCGTAGTCGAACGGTGTAAGTAATCCTACAATTTTTTGTTTATAGCATAGTTTATACAGATTATTCCCAAAAAATTATACGTATTTTGGAAATGTTGAGTGGAATTAGTCTAGAATCGGTTAATTTTATAGTAGAAAACCTTTCGTACAGCCTTAGTCCGTAAAGTTCCCACCTGTCGGGCTGCAATTGGCTCACATATTTAATCATTCCTACAACGTAATTTTCGGTTAGCGTGGAACGTATCTAAGCGTTATAGGGGGGTCTACTGTACTGCAAAACTCGGTAGACGGATTTGCATGCCAGTTAATCATTAACATTTGTACCAAACTATAATGCCACTAGAGTGCCTTAAAATTCTACCTCAATATCCTATAAAATGGCTTGCAGAGACTCCTTTTGTTCAGAACTTGTTGTTTAGTGTACTTGTTTGGAGATCTTTGAATGCTAGGAATGCCTGTATACTGCAGTCAAAGACATTATGCACAGATGACAGAGTTTGAAGGTTACATCATCAGTTTGAGGGAAGTAGGATGGCCATTTTGTTGAATTCTCCACTATCTGGGTCATTCTGACTTCACTGTGAGCGGGTAATGGTGTAGTAGATATTTGGACACACATACAGTAGGCAGACTGAATACTGCAGACAGATCACAACAAAAGATGATTGTATGATTGTGAGAAAGCACAAACAGTTGCAATTGTGTCTGAATGGTGTCCATAGACAGGTGGAAGCTTCACTGGAACTCTGAATCCTTACCATTGTCAGGTGAATAGCAGAGGTAAATTTGCATGCAAGGCAGCTGCTCACATCTTGCCATTAACACTTGTGTATGTTGGCTTCATTTACAGTGATGCCATGACAAAGCATGAACTGCTTGCTATAAACTGATAACATGTCTTTAGCAACAGATCCTGGTTTGGTTTGGGATTTATGGATTAATTAGTATGTTAATGTGGAGGACCACTGGTGAGTGCTTCAATCCTAATCTTATTGTAGAGCAATACATTACCCCATTACTGGCATGCTGCTCTGAGGAGCCAGTTCTTATGACTGTCAGTCACTCTTAGTAGAAGTGGGACATGAAGAAAAATCTGGCATCCTCATATGCATTCATAACAGGATTACAAAAAGCTGTTCCAGTAAGATAACGCTTGGCTGCATACAGCTAAGGTTTCCAGGATTGTCTCCATCATATTGGAACACTTCCTTGACCTCACTGGTTTCCAGATTTGTTTTCTTATTGAAAATTTATGGGATTAGATGGAATGCCAGTTTTGGCATCTACAAGTTGTGAGATCTGGAGTTTTAGTCTGTTTAATCTGACACAGGATTGCATATGCTGTATGCCTCCATGATCAACTACTTGTATTCAGCCAAGTGGAGGTTCTACAAGGAGCTAAATCTTGTACTTCTTGTCAGACTAAAGCTCCAGATCTCACACGCTTGTAGATGCCACTTGTAGACTATTGTTCCATAGGAAATTGTTTCTTTGCTTTAATAAAGTGATTACCTTATCAATGATGACAGTATTAAGTCTCATTCAATTTCAATGTCTCTTTCTCAATGTGTAACTTTTTTGTGTAACTCAATATGTAACTCTGAAATAATTAGCAAATAACTCAAAACTCACCTCAAGAAAGAAAGCATTTGTGGAGAATGGATAAGATACTTATTGTGCCTGTAATCCTTTCTTTCACAAGCATCATACCACATATATTACACAAAAGTCTAGAAATATTAGGTCTTCAGAACAGCACATCACATTACAGAAAGCTGCCATACTAAATATATATACTGTGGTTATTTGGTGCTCAGGGATGTAATAGTTATTCTACAGCTATGCCTTGATCTTGATCCAGTATTAATTGAGTAGAATACAAGTCACTAACACAATAATAATAACAGAATCCAAATAAAAAGAGAATGAATTTTAATTGATAATTATGAAAATGATAATATTACATGGAATCATTTCTGGATAATGTTAATGAAAAATGTTTACACTGCATTATTTTATGATTTACCTTTATCATGTAAAATTAAAGAGATAAAAAATGTTTTTATATAAAGTACATTAATGTTACTATTCGAGTCCATTTAAGCTTTGATATTATCATATAAAATTTAATTACGGCATTTACAAATGTCTTTTAATTTATATACATTCTCTTCTTTTAATTTTTATTGAAATCAGTTTACTGTGGTTTCTTTTGCCAAGTAACAACTGCGACAACAATATTTTTCATAATATTTGTTACTGCAGTAACGTGCTTTTACAATAAAGTTGCAGTTACTAAATCTGGGATCGTCGACACATCCTTCTGGAACACCATCGGAAGAATCTAAAACATGGTATTCTGATTAATAATTATAAGAAATGTTTATAATATTAGTAAAACAAATATCTATATTGATATATAGTAAATTAACAAAAAATGAGAAATGCATTGGTTTTTAATTATGTTAAATTTTACAAAAATGAAAAATTATTTTTTCAGTATACTTTAGATTGTTGAGTAATTTTAATTCGACATATGTGCCAGGGATTATGACAGTGATATACCCATAGCTACTGGAGGATTGTGCTGCAAAATTGCCACTTGACGATATTTCTATTAAAGTGGCAATAAAAACCCTAGTCCAACTTATTTTGACATTCAGTCCACGTTTTCCGTTATTCAGCAAGACATCAGCATAATGATAAAACTTGTTGCGTGTTTTAGTTCACTTGCAGTGCCATCTCAAAATGCTTACTAAATTTCATTAGAGGTTGAGGAGTGTTAGCTTTTTGCTAAGACAATGAGAAGTATGGCAGCACCATGTTTGAAGGTTTTAATTGAACTAGAAGATGAAAATTTTCTTTTAAATATGGATGAAAGAACTGTTTGTAAACTGTCATATGTTTATCTGAAAGAGTTTGACAGGCATAATTGTCTTTTCATCTTCGTATGTCAACTAACAAATTCAGTCTATGTACCTATCTTATTTGTATCTTGACTAGGTATCAAGTAGTAATATAATAATTTGCATTATATAACCCACATATTGAAACTTTCAGCAAAACCATTATATATATTTTTTACTTTTTTATTTCCTATATTTTATAATGCAATTTACAGCATATTTGTACACAGCACATTGTTTTGTGTACCTTTCTAATTTATCACTATTGCTTGTTAAAGATCTTGTGAATGAAAGTAATTAATTATTTACTGAGTATAATTTTGTTTTAAAACTAGTAAATGTTTCATATTTTCATTAGGGACAGCAACCAATATCAAAACTTATTTTAAAGAACTCCAGACATCATTCAGTGCAGCTGAAATGCAAAAATATCGATAAGTCTTGTAGCTAATCACTGTCATTTTTGAAAAAGCTAGAATTGGGATTTATAACAGATTCTGAACAAATGCTCAAAACATTTATAACAGATGCTGTGAAAACATGATCCATTTTTATTAGTGGGATGCTAGCTGTTGTATTCCTTCTAACATGTCAGCAGAAAGTTAAATATTTCGCATACCCACTAGCAGATAGCAAGTGCTACGCTGAATAACAGAAAATGTGGTGTGAAACTGAATCACAAAGCACACTTCAGGAAAAACAGTAGAATAACTAGCTCCTGTGTGATGGGAATCCTATGACATCATATGGCAAGTTTGGACAGAAAAGTAGGAAGTGACATTGAGAACTGAAGGCAGTGTTTGTGCAATGCTGCCCAGCATTTCCAGACTGGGGATTTTTATTATCAAAACACTTACTAAAACACCTTTTCTTGCAGCCAAAGTTTATAAGAGAAACTTTCTAACGTTTTTGGTCTTGTTAAAAGACCTTTCTCAAGAAAATAAATCAAATAGAACAACAAATTGTAAATCGAACGCTTAGTACAGTTACACGTTTTTCGAATTTTTTTTTTTTTCGAAAAATATTCGAAAAACGTGTAACTGTACTAAGCGTTCGATTTACAATTTGTTTTATTTGATTTATTTTCTTGAGAAAGGTCTTTTAACAAGACCGAAAACGTTAGAAAGTTTCTCTTATAAACTTCGGCTGCAAGAAAAGGTGTTTTAGTAAGGATTTTTATTGACTGACAGAAAATTTGGGGAATTTTTTGGGGTGACTTTTTTCACTTTGATTTTTTTTCAGTAGACTAAAACAAGTGAAATACTGTTTAAACATTGTGATGAAATGTGTTATTCTGAATTGTTTATTAAAAATAATTCAAAAATGATTCCTGTTGCTAAGGAGAGACCAGATGTTTGGGTCTCCAATTCGAACAAAACATGGTGGAGCGTGTAGCCTTAAACACAAATGGCTTCTCGTATAAATAATAGGACACACTCCAAGCATTTCCAAAAATCAGACCTCTGAAAATTGAGTGTTTAGCTTATAAGTTTTACATCCACAAATTGATAAGATACTAGGCATTGGAGCTAGATGATGTAGGTTTGAACCTTTGCAATTTTATGTTACACACAAACAGAAAAAAAACTAATTATTTTACTAGAACATCGTGAGAATTTGTCATATCATGATAAAATTGAGGTGGAGCCAAAAAGAAAGAAGCAATTCCTGCTCCTGTTAGGTATAGAACAGGCGATCCTTATACCTGAGGGACATGGATGGATGAACTTTGCACTTGCTGCCACAAAAGAGGCTATCCTTGTACCTGCCAGCTATGCAAGGGATGATCCTTGCACTTATCTACATGCGAGGCAATCCAAGAACAAAGTAATCGATGGCAATTGCTTTGTTCTTGTGTTTTATTTGTTTTTCATGCCTATTTTCCATTAGGCACATGCAATGCTGTTTTTATTTTTGACCCTAGGCCTAAATTCCATTAGGCACACTCAGACACATCAGATATTATCACTTTAATACCTCTTTATATCATGTGATTTTTACATTTAAGTGGACCCTCTTACATTTTAAGATTCCTAATCACAATTAATATTAATAAAAAATGGCAAAGTTTTATCAAAATTGGCCCATTGAAAGAGTACTAATGACCATGAAACATTGCATGACATTGTTCATTGAAACATTTATCACATGCTCTTGTGCTACAAGCTTATTTTGAAAACGAAGTTATGGACCCTCGTTTTTTATTTCATTTTTGGATTCCTCATTGCAATTATTGGAAAACGACAAAGTTTAATCAAAACTGATCAAACAGATTTTGAGAACAAACCCAGTCTGTAAGTCACATAGAAGAGGCTTTGCTAATGCTCTGCCTCAATTATTTTACTGTATCATTAGAATTATTATTCCTTACGTTTAAAGCTTATAAAACAAGAGATTAAACATTGTGACATCATTTGCTGTTTAGTGAAAACTTCTCTGAAGATTTAGCTCTTGTATGTTGTTAAATAAAAGACTTGTTTTTGTTAAAGAGGAAATGGCATTATGATTTTTGATCTTGTTTTATAAGTTTAAACATGAAGAATAATAATAGTTATTTAATCATATCATTAGCATTATTATTATTAGTTTTTTTTTATGTGTAGCATAAACTAATATTCTGAAGGTTTGAAACTGCATTGTCTAGCCCTAGTGGCTGGCATCTTTCTAACTGGTGATAGACAAATGGATGACTTGAAACTTCCAAAGACGCTTATAATCTAAACGCTCAATTTTCAAAGCCCCATTTTTGGAAACACTTGAGAAGTCCTATTATTTGGACAAGGAGCTGTTTAAGGCTACATGCTAACCATATTTTGTTCAAATTGGAGACCTGAACGTCTGGCCCTCTCCTTGTAAGTGACGGAAAACATGTTACTTTTGCTTTCCAGATGTCAACTGATAAGGCTACCAGCACCTGCATTAATTAGTAAGTAAAACTGATGACAATAAATAATTTGAAATGATGAAAAAAATTTAAAATAGACAAAATGGAACATTTTAAAATATCATAACCAGAGTGACTCTTGAGGACTATGAGGTTGCTAAGGCTCCTCAGCTTAGTCAGTAATACCCATATGAAGTATATATAGTACATGTTTTCACTTTCATCATGCAAACTTAAGTGTAAACATAGGTAATAGTAGCCTAAGCTATACCTGATATGACCAGTGCTGGCTGTAAAAAAACAAATTGCAGTTTTTCTAGTTTGCTCTTCTAGCCCCAATGATTTGTTCCTGGCTATGGAACTACTAGACAGTGGTTTAAGTCAAGAAATAAAACATTGGATGCAATGCTAAACAAGTGATAAACCCATGTACATTTCAATAACATCAAATTGCACTTTTTAAGTAGCTTGGTAATTTTGTCATATAAATTGAGTTTTGTTTAGTTTAGTTTATTTTAACAGTAGTCTAAGTAACTTTTCAATTTCTGTTTTGTGAAAAAATTATTAAGATATTTTTCATTATGGCATTAGAAAGTGGTTCAGGTAAGTAGATTTTATACTGTATGTAATGTTCCAAAAACTTTTCACATATGTTAATAAATAAATATTTTGGAACAAGTTTTTTGAATCAAATATTATGGATTTTGGAAGGAATGTAGTATTCAGTAGAGCACCTGCATTTTTCTTTAAAGGGTGCCAGGGCCGCTTGTTACCATCCAAAGAAAAATGGAAAAAAAATTCCAAAAATCTTGTTCTTCATTAAAATTCATTCATTTACAGTAGAACTGCAATTATCCAGACTAATTGGGGATGAAGGTAGTCTGGATAAGGAAAAATCTGGCTAATTGAAAAAAATAATAATTGACAGTGAAAGACATGACATAAAAATTATTCATACTGTATGTACTAGATTTACATATACTGTAGCTTCAATATTAAATTATTTTTTATTAAGAAATTCAATTATTGATTTTTGTTTAAAGCTAGCTGTTCTTTTTGAAGCTGCTAAATCATGAATACTTTAAGTCATATAAGTTATCCTGAGTTACACTTTTCTTGGCTCTCAAACCACTTCATGGCAACATCTAAACACTGAAAAGCTTCAGAATGTGTAGGACCAATATCTCTTACTTTGCAAATCTCTTCATTGTCTTGATCTTGTTTATCTGAGACAGATATTTCTTTAATTATTTCCTCATCGTTCAAAATTTGGAATCCAGGATCGTTCGCATCGCAATTTAACCACTCAGTTACATCATCGTCACATTCAGCACACATTGAAATTTGTGCTATTGCTTCTGCAATGTCTCCTATACCACTTTCTACTGTGTTACTGGAATTTTCTAATGGTCTTTTAAAAATTTTGTTCAATGATTTTCTCAAAGTTGATACATCTATAGAATTCCAACTCTCTGCTGCCATGTAGCAACAGTCTTTTAAATTTATTTTCTTATGGAAGCTGATAACTGTTTCTTTGTTATTTTCATCTGCTAG